TAATAATAATAATAATAATAATAATAATAATAATAATAATAATAATAATAATAATAATAATGTAAAATTTGATATATATTAATCTTACTTTAGAGGAAGCAAATAACGGGCTGAATTTTTCTTCATGAGGAACGCTTCTGAGTGCATACATTCCTTGATGCTCCTATACAGCTAAACCAAATATATATATACATATATATGATAACAAGTTAGGTGTTTTATTAATCTTTATTATATATATACCCATGTAATGAGGGTAACACTTTTGAAGTACTTTTGGAAATTTAGATATGGTGTTTCTAAATAAATAATAATAACCAAAATGGTAAGAATTATATTCTTTTAAGTACTCAAATATATATTGACACACTAATAAAATAATCATTATAGTTAAATTAATTTTCCGGAGGCTAAATGTCCAAATTTTAAAATATGATGTTAGGTTAATTAATTAGGCCAATCTAAAAGTCACAGTTTAGAAACGAATGATTTTAGGTCGCATGACGAAAGGTTTTCTTTATTTATATCATAATGTTTACGGCACTGATGATACATAATTTGCTAAGTGTTAGTTGTAATATAGTCGTTAGTTAGGTAAAAGATAACACAAAAAAAAAAAAGGAAAAAACTACTTGTACAACTTTTTTGTACAACATTCAATGACAACATAATGTGGCACAATGTGGGTGGTTGAGATTCAAATAAATGTATGGTTAAGATTTAAGTTAATGGTACTTTTAACCATGTTGTCAACTAATGTTGTAAACTATAATTGTACATGTAGCATTGCCCAAAAAAAAAACATAGGACAATTGGTTATTAAACAATGTATATAGATTAATTACATTGGTTATTAATGTTAGAAATTGTGAGTGTAAACAATTATTTCCAACTAATATTCCAACAAATAGATTCTTATTCTTCCAACCTCTACACTAATTTGTTAATTAAGTCAACCATATTTATTAATGGTTAGTTGATGGAATATTAGTTGATGATAATCTTTTTATTAATGGTGAGTTGATGGAATATTAGTTGATGACATATTGATGCTCCCATGTGTATATATATATAGATATATGTGTTCTGCAAGAAAAAAAGAGATTTGAGGGAAAAAACGAAGTGAGCAGAAACCGAAAAATAAGAAAGAAAAGAGAGAGGAAGAAAGAGGAAAAAAAAGTGATAGAAAAGATAGATTTATGTCCAATTATCGGACATAAAAATATCAAAAGAGAAGAAACAAATAATATTTTTATTTGTTTTATGATATATCTTTTTATTTTTAGTGTTCAATTCTCAACTCCGTTCAAGTTCGCCGGAGCTCGTAAATTTGGTGTGCTACAGATTTAGAGACGTTTGCCGTTGTATCTTTGGGGAAGTTACGCCTGAACCGTTAGCTGCCACACGGGGCGTATTCTTCTTGCGGAAAGAGTTTTACTCGCTTCGGCTAAAATCTTTCCGTTTTTTCAGTTGTAATTTATTTTCAGTTCAATTGTAATTTTCTATTTTTTAGATTATTTGTAAGAACTGAAATTACATATCAGTTCGTAGGATTCCCGTGTAATTTTGACACCAAATATCCAACAATTAATTGCAATATATATATATATATATATATGGAGAATGCTACCATCTCGTTATGGGATGGTTCCGTTGTGTTTTCTTATCATAGATATACATGTAATCTAATGATGGGTAGTTAATCCAACGCTTAAAAACACAACTGAACATAAATTGTTGTATGAAACAGTCTAACCATTAAGAGGTCGATAGATCCATCATACTATATGAACAACATACTTCTGCTATCAAACATCAAACTTTCATTCATGTTATTTGTGACCTAATTTATAGTAACAACAAATCCAACAATGCAAAAATATTTAAACTTAGAAAACTGCGGGTATTTTTATGAGCTGGTTCGTATATATAGAAACTAATATTAACATAAATGTAGTACGTACGTTGTTGCAATATAGGTACGGTTGTACGGAATGGCTTCGATTTCCCAAAGTTCGAGGGGTTTTGTGTGTGATTCCTCAAAATTAGGAAGTTAAAATGAGATGTATGTATGTAACCATATTATTATATGCTTTAATTACCTTGCCAATTTTATTTCATCCTCATAATTCATAAGTGCCCCTGTCACTACAAAATAAATGTTATATTTCAACGAAAAATCCTATGATAATATATTCCAATAGAAATTCCAATGGATATTCCAATGGAATAGCTTCTGTTGGAATAGTTCCAACAGAAATTCCAACGGAAATATTCCGTTGGAATGTGTTTTTCATTGAAATTTTAGATGGAATTTGATGATTCCAACGGCTATATTTCCAACGTCTTTTTGTTGTAGGAATTTCCGTTGGAATATGTAAATTCCGTTGGAATTTTTTCTCCACCCCCGTTGGAAAATCCACCGTTGGAATCGTCAAAATCCAACGAAAATTTCAATGGAAAACCCATTCCAACATAATATTTTCGTTGGAATTTCCGTTGGAATCCATTGAAAAATTCCAACGAAAATAATAGTATGAAATATCTGTCGGAATTGCCGTTGAAATAATTCTTTTGAAATAGATATCCGTTGAAAATTTATAATTTTCTTGTAATGTATATATATATATATATATATATCATCCACAATTTTCAACATATAGTTTAGCTGTTTAGGCATTAAAATTGAAATACATAGTAGCACGTAATTATATTCCACCATATTAATTACTCGATCAATCAAAAGTCAAAAGTTTCTCTCTCTCTCTCTCTCTATTTTTTTTTTTTTC